ATAAAAAAAAAGTTGTCCAAATTTACTTATCTGTGAGTGTAGTTATGATCGGTAGGATACTTTTGCACGTTACTGTAAATAGCAGAGACGCAAAGTTGGATGTTGAAATGGAGATTAACTACTGACTTTCCATTTACTTTAGCAATGAAATTCGCGTTCTATTAACATCTATGCTATGCAGCAAAGTGTTCCATTGTAAGATGTTTACTGATAACATTCGAACATATCGAATATTAATATACTAATAGCAGATTGTATGCTTGCTTCGGAATTTGAAATTTATTAAACACGCACGTAGAACCATCAATTACGTCATAAAAAAACATTACAGTCAAATCTATTTATCCTACCCAGTACCGTGTATGTAAATTTTAAAGACGTAATCCTAAATTATTACAAATATCGTTACACTTGTGGTTTTCCAAAAAACATTTGAGGATCCCCCGTCCACCGAGATTTGTCTTTCCGAATCGTAATGTATCAGTACAATGTATCGCTGAATCCGTCAAGACAAACTCGTCAGCATTCTCAATTCCTTGAATATCGGTAAGCAGTAAATATTTTTTCGTATGTTCATATGTGAAATGGGCAAATGCTTCGAGACAGGGACGAAAATCTACAATTACACCACTGTTTACATTGAATCGCTTGAATTCTCCATCGAGTCTTGATTCTATCGTGTAGTACCGAGTATTGGAAGAATCTGCAACATTACACAACACTTTCGCCTCGAGAAATCTTATCTTTTTGACTCCAAAGGGCGATGTAGCATTATTAAATGCCGCCGAAAGATAAGATGCGACAACAGATATCTCCACCGCTTCAAGATATCTTTCTATTGGATTGGTTCCTTCCCTGATACTAACGTATTCTTTTATCACTTTTTTCTGGGACGGTTCGCGTGTGACATCAAGCCCATAGTATGCAAATCTTTCGGCTCCAACAGAAAATGGCTGCTCCGAAATATTGTAAGAAATTTTTTCAGTAACAATGTTTGACTTGCGAAAGTATTTGCTGTCCTTGAGATCGTCCACAGTCTTGGGAACAGGATACCCCATAAGTATTGCGGTGTACGGCGAATAATTAACCCAATTAGGTTCTGTTGGATTCATCCTACGGTTTCGCCAGTAGGCGTTTATATCCATGGTCTTTCCGATGGTGGTAGTTAATGAAACAGAAGTGGTGATAATCGAACAAGATGCCTTGGAAAGTTTGTCGACTAATGAGATTGCATCTCCAGAAGAAAGATCGAGTACTTGAAACTGGCCAAGTATACCCTGAAAAATTTCAATCATTTTATCGGTCATATTCGTAATTTTTCCAAAAGAGTAGAATATATTTTCCGATTGCATTTTTCCTAGTACACTTTCTGCCGTCAAGCCGAATGGATCACCATTCGGGCGAGAATCCCCATACGACCCGTAACGACAGCCATGCGGAGGACAATCTCCAATGTGAAAAATAATGCGCGTACCCGTGTGCCAAGACATTCGCGTTACAGCTGCGTTTAGACCGCCCAAAACGTCTTCGTGGGTATCGCCGCCACCGGTCGCTTGCACGCTGGATAGATATGATTTAAAGCTTTCGTACGAGTCTGTGAAATCAAAAACTTGCAAACGATTGGTATTGTCGCAATGATCACGATAACCACAAAATCCGACCCGGATGGTAATGCTTTGATTCGCCTGCTTTGCGCACTCGGCTATTCGTAAGATGCTATCTTTAGCAGCGGCAATATAACTTTGCATAGATCCGGTGCAATCCAAGACAAAGCAAAAATCAACACTCATCGAGTTTTTAATACTATCCAGTGTTTTGTTTATGGCATCTTCTCGTAACTTGGTTGCCTTGGCTTTAAAAGAGTCGGGATCTGAGCGGTAAGATTCGTTGACTGTACGTACATATGCAGCGTTGGTTTTCAAACCAGAGTCTGGACAAGGGGACTCGTCTACTTCGTCGACATAGCGTTCCAAACGTTCTTGAGCAAGATCCAATTTCTCCAAATCGGATACAAATGATTTTGGGATGGAACTATCAGAAGATACTGATTCGGGAATGGAAGTGGGAGATATTGGAGGGCCTAATGTTTTGAGGAACAAAGTGTCTGATTCGGAAGATATGGGAGGGCCTAAAGTGTTGTCATCAACCGTAGTGGCTTCAATCTTATGGTCTGCCATTCTTTTTGTTAGAAACGACAAATATTCTTGGGAATCGCCATTCTTTTAATTGCAGTCGTATTTAACACACATACGCTCATGTCCGTATAATAGGGACTTTGCTGCAATAAGAACAAGATGTTGGGTGAGAATTTCGAGAAAGCGATCGGGTTAGTTATCTTTTGGTTTTTTTTTACATAGTACCTGTATTTAGTTTTTTGGCAGCTTATGTGCGACTGCTGTGAAAATGATGGGCTTCTTTTGTGATGAATAATCAAGCATTTGTTCGCATCATACATTGTGATATAGAAAACATTATACAACAATTACGCTATATCGCCGAAGTTATTTTGGCATACAGATTAAGCTAGTGTTGGGAATTTTTATATCATATGGTGTTTAGCAATGCACTTACTATTACCACCGAAAGACACACATTGTCAAGGAAAGAACAAGAGTAAGTAAGAATTAACGTGACTTGTAAACAATAAAGAATTCTATTATCGGGGAAGCTTGTGAATTATTCTTACCATGGGATTTATTAGCGTGCGAATCCTTTGTATAGTATATAGCAATGATGATGTTGTTAACAGTAAAGTCCAAAGTCTGAGAATATAAAGCACCCGTCAAGCCTTGCGCCATGATCAGAATCGACATTGTAATTGTGCACGTGAAATTTATCTCTAAATTCTTTATTCTTTTTATGCTCATTTCCAAAAGCGGTGTAATCCGTATGCTATAGACACAGGGGCTGTATTGCCAATGAGGAGAACAATGAAATTTCAAAAAGGTAAAATAAAACTATAAAGTATAAACAAAAAAGCGTTGGTCTAACAGGACATTTATACACAATCTCTTTTCTTCATCTTAAAATTCCCACAAAACTCAAATTCACACACCTACGAACGCTCAATCGACCTTTCTATATCGCATCCTCCTCTTAACACCTATCATCTACCAACAACAACAACAACAATAGTAATTTTTTATTCATTAATCAGATCTCGTTCTTATCCACAGGATCGCCATGAACGCGAAATCTGTACAAACAAGTGAACGTATCCTTGCTCCAATTGTTAAGCACTTTCATAACGACAGCAGTGACCGGCTTATTGCGTTGCTTAATGCTCTCGGGTACTTCGAATGTCTGTACGGGATTTCCATTAATATCATATGTGTATCGACCCAAAAACAGATGCAATGTAGATGTACCCAAACGTAATTCACTAGAGGCAAGATTCTCAATGGTAGGATCAAGATCACTCCATTTAGTAGGTTCGGCATTTGTAGCTGCATTAATACTTGCACTTTTATAAGGAACATACTCTCCATCTTCACGCACGCCGCACTCGTCGTCCTTTGACTCCATAAATATGTCTTCTTCTTCATCATCTTCATCCGGTACTCGCTCATCTCTTCCGTATTTCCCATCATTAACTATCCCCCATACTTCAAAGTCTCTGGGCGCACTCGTTACATCAACTCCAATATGTTTACTCACGTGATCATACGTAACAGCAGTGACATATACTTTTCTGCTTAGCAGGACTGCTAGCTGACCCTCTCGCCCTGGGAACGGCCAGCATTGACCAACGTTCGTGTCTGGTGATAGTGCTGTTACTGGTGGTTTACCTCTAAGTATGCCCTGCCCTGACATGTAAGCAAACAACTTTGCAAACCACTTCTCGGGCCATACTTCATATGTCTTACTTGTGATTCTGCTAATTACTTTAGCTCCAGCAGAATGCAACGCAAAATCAGGTCTATTCAGTTTATCCTGTGAGAATACCAGCAGTGCCTCTTCAATGACTTTCTGTGATTCTTGTCTTATTATGTCGACCAAATCAGTTCCCTTGTAAGTAGCTCGAAGTTTCTTGGCTTGCGTTATCTCTTTTTCAACGACTTCCTTGACTTCCGCTTTGACTTCATTCTTCACTCTGTCCTTGACTTCGCTTGTACAGAATGACTTTACTTCATCTGATATAATTCCACGTAATTCAGCGGTACGGGGATCAACCGATTGGCCGATCGTCTTGGCTGAATTATCACCGTTCATACAAGATGTTCTTACTTCATCGGCAATAAATAGTCGCAGATCGTCGTATGTAAGGACGAGGTCTTCCCGTTGGCTGGGATCGACAGCACCATCAAGCGCAGTCTCACCATCGCTACCATTTAGAGTAACTGGAATGACAAACTTGCGTTCTGAATTGTCCGACCAGAAGTGTGGTTTAAATGGAATAGAACGCATAAAATCTCCTATACTCATTTCTTTATTTTTGAACGGTAAATAGGACATAGCAAGAAGTACTCCCAGTATTGCTAACAGTATGAGACCAAATCTGTAACTGTTTCGGGGGGCATCTTTTTGTAAACTTATCTCTGTTGTTTCTACTAGTGTTGTCGATGGTGATGTTGTCGGTACCAAGGCTGTTGATGGTACCAAGGCTGTTGATGTTGATTGCTCTGGTATGGCTGTCGAGGGTGAGGTTTTTATTGACATCGGCGTGGTTGTTGTGGTTGTTGTTGTTGTGGTAGTTGTGGCTGGAGGCGAGCTAAACATTTCATAGAAACGTCCATTACCTGTTATATTGTTCAGTATGAATTCATACGTTTTTTCAGCGAACCATCTCGATGCAAACAGACAGAAACCAATTGCAGAGAGTAAATAAGCCGGAGGAATCGTCAACCATCCACCGGCAGCAAATAGCAATTCTCCCGCACGCTGCTGTTTGTTTTTATCACTCAATTGCTGCGTTGGCTCGGGAGTAATATCTCGTGATAGTAATACGGATTCGTTATCTCCATTAGACAAAAAAGTGTCCCCGTGCGGTAATTCGGGTAATTCGGCGATCGTAGGAGTTTGACTAGACAACGAATCTTCCTCTCCGATTAGCTCTCTAAAATATGCCTCCTCTCTCGAAAAGTCAAAGTCCTCAAAGGGATCTGAATCATATGGCCTCTCCCTTAGATAAGCAACGTATTTACGTGACTCATCAGCGCTGCTTCCGTAACCATTAGTCTGTTCTTGTGCTCTCCGTTTACCTCCGCGAGGCGATGTCCGGTTTGCAGCAGCCTGATTCTTTGCTGGCATCGCTGTTATGTTTATTTCGTTCGTATAAACTTTGTAAACAGGGAGGGTAATATTAATATAAACAAACAGGAAAGAATCAACAAAAAAGGTAATTGGTTTCCAGCAAAATTCGGGGGGCCCAACAGGGGAAATCAAGGGCGGATCTTTCCCAAAACTGGTAAATTCAATTGTCCTGATCAGACACAGGTTAACAAAGCGCCAGATCACACTGTCAAAATCATAGGAGAGCTGACGGGAATAAAGTCACAAACTGAAAGGTTTCACTGCCAACTTATTACTGGTTACACAGTCGGCATAAACCCCTAAAATCACTTTTACTATATCTGATGCTGTGTCCGGACCCGTGGTAAAAACTCTAATTATAACTCGAATTGTTTGTTGTGGAATTTGGAACATGGGGGGAGTGGCGTTTTGAAAAGAGAATTTTTTCCCCGGTTGAAATGCACAATATGACGAATGCTGCTAATCTTAAACTTAAAAGTCAAATATTTGTTGAATCAACTCCCACCCGAAAGAATTTTCGTTAGAAGAGATAATCAACATGGTATGACAAATTTACTTGACTAAATTATCACATGTCGCAAATGTGAATTATTGGCGCGCCTTGCAAGTCATGAACAATATCAGCGAAAAATTGTTTGTTACGTACAGACTAACACTTGTGTTCGAATATTATATTAATATGCAGACATTGAATGCCAAAGTTTATTTATAAGAATAATGAGTTATCTATAGATTAATTTCTATTAATTGCTAAGTCTATTTATACAATCGAGAATAATACTATAGTTTTTCAATCAACATTCTTTGTATCCTCGCTGCTACGCTCCTTCCCCGACGGTCCGAATCCTCTCGCTTCGCAATATCTAAATGGCTCGTCATCTCCAAAATTTATCTTTACTTTACACGGTCCATGGGCTCCAACTGTAGGATACCACAAATGTCGCATACCAGTGAACGCAGTACCAAGATTCTTCCCGTTTTTGGTGAAAAGTACAAATCCGGTGTTGGGATAATATCCGCATCCGACAGTGTCTCCAACCTTACCCCATTCGGGACCATAATCGCGGCCTCCATACGCATCATTGAATTTACGACCATCATCGGAATGGTATCCGACTGAGTGAAGGTTCCAACCCGGAAGCCTAGCATTGAGAAGGGTGAATAAGCTGGTTTAATGTGCGAAATGAGTGAAACGAGTCGATGAGAAAAACAGATCGTAAATATGTACCTAAATGGTGGGTAAGGCTTTGTGGCGAGACCTATTGCTATTGTAGTGTCTTTAGGCTTTGGATTGGACAAGACAGTAATCTCAAAGTAATGCAATGCATTTGATTCGGGATCGTCAACTAATATGGGCAAAGGATCTTTTTCCTCGGTTTCAGCTTGCTAAAATTGAAATGTGTTAACATTAACAAAAAGATATGAATAGCATGTAACACACACGTAGAAATTGTAATACCCACCGGAGGCTTTTGTGTTAATGTATTAACCTCGACACATTCGTCTCCATTTTTGTCGATTGCATCTGGTGGCACGAACATCGGGTAGTTTGCCTGTACCATAGTACTCACCACGGTGCCCCTTGACTTGTTAAACTGCACCACACGTCCCTTTTCCGAGACGATGGCCAACTGACGTTCGGAAACCGATGACTCGGGAACGATTTGATATGTCGATGCACCACCTCGACCGCTTATGACTTTCTCTGACGGTAGCTTCAGCTGAGGCGGATGTTGTTGGGTATAACGATTCCCTGCTTTAAACGAGTCGGTCGTCGCTTCATGCTTCTTACCATGCAAATGGACAGGCTCAGGTGCGGGTGGCTGAGTTCCGTATGAAGGAGGCATATTACCAGATTCGAGATCAGAATGTGGGGGGCATGACGTTGAAGTAGTTTCGTGTTCCTTCTTGATTAACCGGGACTCTCCGTAGCTACACATGCAACAGCAACAAAATGGCATCCAAATCGACAAGCATATTCCTATGACTATAAGGGCCGCTACTACTCTAACCCCACCATTAGAACCATCGCTACCTTCTCCTCCTCCTATTCCTACTCCTACTCCTCCTCCTCCTCCTCCTCCTCCTCCTCCTCCTCCACCTCCCATCGACAGTACAGCAGTTAAATGGAATAATATACAAATATACGACAGCCAAATCGAATGCATCTTCGTTTGGGTATCGAAATTCGTTTAATTTTTATATCAAATTTCACCGGATCTAACTAAGGTAATTGACAATAAGCCTGCCGCGAGTATGATGTCATTTCAGCATCTACATTAGCCGGTGTGCAGCAGATTGCGATTTGGATACTCTCAGTCACACAAAGCCATTTGTCAAACAAAGCCATTTGTCAAACAAACCATTTGTCAAACAGTTTTCGAAACTTGAATACGTTTATATCCCTACTTTGGGATAAGCATAAAGTATTCATTTACATTCGGTTAATGAAGTTTAGCGTTTAGACCTTTTCTACAGACCCATCTAAGCGTCGAATTATATTTCGTTTGTATATACTTTACATCGGTTTCTTTTCTCTTGATAATGTTTATTTTATCTTCAAGTGACAGATTTTTTTTCTTTGCTTTCTTTGTCTACTGTTACTGATGTTATCCATACTTTAATGGTTAATTCGATAAATTTAATTTTTTAATATGGGAAAGGTTAAGCAAAGCACACTCTCATATATATATTTGAAAACTACGCTCTTGGCTTAAAGCTTCTTCGAGTTCATAAAAATTCTTTGGATGCACAGATCGTTTTCGAAATCTCCGTTCAAGTTCATGCCACAAATGTTCAATAGGATTAAGGTCCGGAGATTGGGAAGGCCAATCTGGGAGAATCT